TGGTAGAGAATCGATCAAAGGGCACGGCTTCAGTGTAACATAAACTGAAAGTAGCTTCGCTGTCTAAACCGTTAAGCTCTGTACTATAAAATATAAAAGTTTCCACGTGCACCCTTTGTGAGTGGAACTATTCAGCCACGCAATTTCCGATTGCATGAAAATATAGTTTTTCTTCGTTTTTTTTTAAAGATAAAATTGGTGGATATGAAGATCCGGTTACAGACGAATGTAATTTTCTTATTTGTTACACTTTCCATCATTTGTGGTACAAGCGTTTATTAAGTTTCTGCAGATTTATGCAACGCTCAGAAGCAGTTGACGTATCTTTTATTATACTATATATCACTTTCTGAATAAATCTAAGCTTGTTTGTCCATCTTACTCTCTTCCCTAATGTTGGATTTTCGGTACACTTTGTATTTGATTGTCCTAAGATCCTACGCTTTAGTTTTAAGAAATTTGCTGACGTTTTCTCGATTGTTACCTTATGGTACCATAACAAGACAAGCTTCTAAAATTCGCCTTACTCAATTCAAGCGTGCTCAAGCGTATTCTCTTGTCTATTATTACGCGCCGGCTGCCGGGATACTCTCTCAGTAAAACTACTCTACACTACACTTGTGGTACAGAGTACAATAAGTTTTTGCGAACATATGTAACACGTAGGAGGGCTTCAGATACACCCACCCTATATTTGTCTATGTGTCCGTCTGATATCTGCCCGTGTGCCGCTGTGTTCAACCTACAGTTTTTGAAATATTTCGACGAATGTCGGTACACTTACATGCCGTACACTTTTGAAAATGGTTCGACCACTTAATGGTGGCCCATGCAATTTTACTCTGAGAATGTTTTATTTTCCCCTCATTTGATATCAAAAAAATCTATGGACTAGGTATGATGTTTTATGTTTACATAAGGCTTGTGTTGTATAAATAAACGAATACGCACTATGAACAACTTCCTGTCTGAGATATAAGGTTCCCTTCTGACCATGAAGCCGTAAACCACATCGTGCGATGATATGTTGAAAAGAAATTTGAATGAAAGGACACGCCTACAGTACCACGTAAACTAAGAAAACTTATCTTTAAATAATAACTTGGTTTTCATGTAAATCAAGAAAAATTTGAAGGTATATTCTACGGGCGATGCTGCAGTTCCTGTAGAAAGTGGGAAAAATCGGTTACGCCTACTCAATATTATGAAGTACAAAATTTAAATTTATTTCAATACTTTTCAATACAATTCGTAGAATCGAGCTTTAAAAACGCCACAAATTATGTAAATTCTTGACCAGTTTCAAGTTCGAAATGCAGCCAAGCATGTTCATGTTTGTCTGTCCGTCTATCTGCCTGCGGAACTGTGTAGTATTTGTGGTAAAGGTTCTCCCATTAGCCGTAATAAATATATCGCCTAAAAATTCGCAAAAGAATTTGGAAGGGACCTAAACTTTTCACAGGACACACTCACAATACCCACGCGCCTCTGTGGCAGATACATTTATTTCGAAAGCAGAAGGAATTATCCGTGTCCTGTCTATATTATGGAGCATGAAAATATAGTTCTTTTCCTGTTTTTGTCTTTTAACGGGATAACTGTGATGGGTATAAAAGTTTGGGTCACAACCGAATTTAATTTTCTTACTTGATATTCGTTTTTAACAAACAAAATTCATTTCATTGAAGAATATAAATGCTAGACCAGTTTCAACTTGGGGAATGCATCTAGACATAAGCGTCTGTCCATTTGTCCGTCTGCACTGCTGCATAGTGTCTGTGGTCAACATTCTTCCTTTCGCAAAAAATAAAGATATCGCTTATAACCAAACGCGTACACAACAGAAAGCGTGAAGAGCTATGCCTTCGTGTTTTTTGGTTGTTAATCTTAAAGTACAACACTCACTATCACAACAAATTTATCCACTTTTTATCTAAAAAAAGAAAAAGTCAGCCACGCCCACTCTACATGATAGATTATGAAAATGTAGTCCTTTTCTTTTTTTTAATCACTTTTAGGATAACGGCAATAAAAGATTCGATTACGACCGAATATAATTTTCTTACTTGTTTAAATGTAACTTTTCTCTTCTATAGAAATTTTAGAACAAAGCAACTCGTACGACAAACAGAATCAATTACAATCGCCTGGCATCAAAGCAATAAGCGCCCTATAGTACAATTCAATTTTACACCCAGCACTAAAAGACGAAAGAATACCTAACGTGTCGACCTGTTTGGGGTAGTAAGCGTAAGTAAGTTTCAGGAATCCCTTGTTTTGAAAATTTGCATAATATTTCTGCCCATAAATGAATACCAAATGTAATTTAAATATTTACCAGATATATCTACAGATTTCCGGAACTATTAAGCAGGTGATATTCTTACTATTAATAGAAGATACTACAATTTGTACCTTACATCATTTATGGTATGCCCTTTATTAAGTTATTGCGAACGTATGTAACAGAGCTTAAGGGAAACCCACGTTTAATTATACCGATCGATTCAGAATGGTAATCTGAATTGAACTAAGCCTGTCTATCCGCCTGTCCATCTGAAGTAAATTTGTGCTCAAGCTAGAGATCGCAATCTTTGAGATATTTTAATGAAATTTGGTATAGCGAAGTGTCTTGATCCAAGGGCAAAGGCTATTGAAAATGGTTCGGATCAGTCCAGTTTTTTGACCACTTCCCATACTTCATCCTATTCTTAAAAGCAATAGTGTGTAAGTAACAGTATTTCGGCACTCTACATTGGCTTAGGACTGCTAGGGCAATTTTTTAGCTCACTCTCATATAATGACAACTAAACGTCATACGACAAATAGGTATAATTTTCAATGCTTCACGATGAAAATTATATCAAAATAACATAAAAAAGTTAACTGTGCTAAATTTGGACCATCTCGGCCTATTTTTTGGACTCTATCTTAATAAGGATTTTCACGAAAATTGTATTTTTTTGTAGAGCAGGAAAGTCTAAGTTTTAATGTGGAGTGATAAAAATTGACCTACAATAGCAATTTCATACAAAAATGAACTTTACAAAATTTGCACCATCTATGCCTATTGTCAGATCCTGGCTTATGTAAGGTATAAACTTGCACTACATTTGGGCCCTCTTCCTCATAAATGCGCACATGAAAAATATGCCTTTATATAGAAACAAGATATAATGTTTGTGTTCTATAATGAAAATAAAAATTGTGTGACACAGTGCGGTGTAAGATATTGCATTGTTGGCCTTGCCCCACTATAATGTTCTTATTTATTTTATTTAATTATTTCAGATATAGATCAAGTTTCACTCTTATTACGGTTTTCTGCTTCTTGACAAGTTATACGCAATGGTCTCTTATCTTGTTGCCCTCTTGTGTGCAACATTTCGAAATCCTGTTCCCATCAATTTTCGTGAATGATATGCTGACATTTACATTTTACTTTGCATGATTTATATGAATGTTACGCCTCGTTACTCTTACCCATGACTTTGCAAATTTTTGATGATTTCTTTCTATTCTTAAGACTACAATGATTGATGAATGGATAAATAAAGTCATGATTTACACACGTGTATGTTTCAGTATTTTGTTAACTCAATAGCTTAACTATGATAGTTTTTTTATACAATATCCTGCAAAGGCGAAATCAAAAGAAAGGAATAAAACAATCGGAAGACTTAAGAGCGTGAGATGAAATCGCCGGCAATTCGTATAAAAGTGAATCTTGTCAACAAGTATACAATAATGTATATAGTTATGTATAATAATATTTATTGTATATTTCAGGGGAAACCCTGATGGAAGATCGAAACAGTTCAATTCAGAATTAGATACTGACCTCTGAACTTCCAGTGGAATAAGTTGGTGAGATGAGTGGAATAAGTTCATAATGAAAATGATAATAATATTGAAACGGGAAAAAAATTTATAAAATTGGTTATGCCGGACCACTTCAATAGAGAAATGCGTTAAAATTGAATCTAAGTGAGCTATTGTTCTCACACGACACGCAACAGGCGGACAGATTGCATCTGGCACAGGTTTCCCACGATGTGGTTCTGCTGTTTTTTTTTAAGATCGTTTCGTTTTAAGATCGTAATCGTACCTTGAAACATATACTTACATATGAAGGTAGGAGAACGTGACTACATCGATTGATCAATAGAAATTTAACAAAGTCATTTTAACAACATTAAAGTCTCCTTTAAGAAGTATCTTGTCTATGTTGATTAGAAATATTTTCACAGTTTTTCTGAATTTTCCGACTCATAGAGAGTCCATACGCGGATCATAATGAAGGAATATATGGCATTCACACTTAAGGGTTAAACGTTGTTATAAGTGATTGTTTAATATCTTCACATGAATCATAATTATTTAAATGTTTAGACATGAGTAAAAGTTCCATTTTCTAGTCCAAGCCATATGAACCCTTTTTGAATTTCACCCAAACCATTTGAAATTTTAATCCAAAGGGCCTTCTTCTTCTTCTTCTTCTTCTTTTTTTTTTTTTTTGATTTAAACACTACACTCTTGAAGAGAGCGCAAATAGTTTCTCTTTTATATATTTTAACAGTAAAATTTAAAAATAGAAAAGATATAAGAAATTTTTTATATTTAAACTATGTATTATATTACATAAAAAGATTGCAATTGCAGCAGCCAGAGAGTATCAAAATTTCATAGTAAGAAGTTCATAAAAATAATAACAAGTTTAAAATAAAATAACATACATTTTATATAAAAAACGAAATTTTAAATATATTAAAAGTTTAAGTGAAATCGCTTATATGAGTTAATTCGTTATTCTTTTTCATATTTTATACATTATTTATACAAAAAAAAAAAAACGAAAAAAAAAATTAAAAAAATTATTTACTTTACAATTACTATAAATTAAATTTTTTTTTTTTTTTTTTTTTTATAAAAAAAAGTATTTGTTCATTTGCTTGCTTTTTAAAAATATTTTTTGAGCATATGTATATATATATATATATATATTTGTTTTGTTTTTATTTATACAAAAAAACAAGAATTAAACTAATTGGCAACAGTTATTTTTGTTATTTTTAGCGTTTGTCTTTCGACTTAATTAAAACTCAGACACTCAATCTTCCTGGTTTCTAAATGAATTTAAGACTTTCTTAACCATCCAAAATGGAATTTGAACCGCGCTCAAAATCATCTAGAGTATCCTCTGAGCCGGAAGCTGTTAAATCAGATAGTTCGTCTAAACATTTTTGTTTTTTGCGCACATTCCAATGTAGACATTCGGCCAACGCATCAAACCAATCGGAAATTTGATCTTGAGCACATATACTGGGCACCGGATAAATAGAAGTGGTCACTTGCAAGCGATCGCCATGAAACAGTTCTTGAGTATTACGGCCGTCGAACGATACTTTCGATGTAGTGCGACTGTCCGGAGAAACTGAAATCTGAAAAATATATATTTCAATTTTGAAAATTTAGAAAATTTGTTATTGTGTGTTAGGAACCCACTTCAAGTTCAACGCCTGCAGGTACAACAATTGGACGAAAACTTAACGAATGCGGACAAATGGGCGTAACCAAAATGGCTGGCACTGAAGGATGGACCATAGAAGCACCGGCTGCTAAAGCATAAGCTGTACTGCCGGTCGGTGTCGATACAATTAAACCGTCACCTTGCACCGAAGTAATGTACTTTCCACCGAGAAAGAGATCAATGTTGCTAAGAAAAGAAGACGGGCCACGATCGATTACCACTTCGTTTAAGACCTGGAAGAAATATTAAGCAGATTTAGCAGATATTTTAATATGTAATTATTTTCATTTTTCAATTTCTAGCACTAAGTAAACGGAAGTTTTAGCTAACTTTCCGTTACGTTCCGTAGTGTGTTACACTAATATCCTATGAAAACTTGACGTAGTCTTTCAGTGCTCCTCTAAAAAACAAGTCTTTTGGCACTCAACAAATTATGTAAATGAGTCAAAACTTTTAGTAGGCAACGAAAAATTCTGGCCTAACAAGAGTCAACGGGTATGCGACTCCTGTCATTGTGCTTTTATGCATAACAATGTAATCTCTTTAATAGAAGCCCCGGAAAAATTCTTAGAAAATTACCATAAACTCTGATGGTGCTTGCCGTATTGTGCATTTATTTAAAGCATTTTCATGCTCGAAGGCCGATGCAGATTCGAGTTCCGTTGTTGAATCACAGTTGACGGCGTATTGCTGTTTCTGTAAATCGGAATATTTATGCTTTTCACTTTTTCTATAGATGACACAACGCAAACGACTCCGCAAAGTAAGAGCAGCGTGACCTTCCAAGACATTAGTGACTTGTTCTTGAAAATTATCGAATTGGAATGGCGTAAGAAAACCCAACGAGCCTAGATGAAAAGCCATTACCGGCGGCACCGATTGCTGAAACAATAGCGACGCATACAATAAGGTGCCGTCACCGCCCAGACAGACAATAAAATCTATACGACCCGTAAGATCATCCCGGCCATCTCTGTAGGGAAATTTCATAAATTAATTTTGGGCTTTTTATTCCTCTTCTTTATATAATTGCCTTACTTGAATGTAACCAATTTCTCTTTGATATCTTGGAATTTTTGATCTTTCTTTAATATTGGATCATTAAATACTCCCAATTCCACCCAAACAACCATATGTTTTTCTTGCACCAACCATTCGACTAATTGCACAAAAGGTGCCAGTACATCTTTATCGCCCATCTTTTTGATTACCAGGACAGCGAGTGGAGGTTTGTACCACGTCAAACGTTGACTGGCAGGATCTTGAATTTGCCTAAAAGAAAATTGAAGATTTTAAAAATAATTCCAAAAAAATCAAAAATATTCTTACATAACCATAGATGGATTCTTCATTATGCGTCCGCATGGCCCGAATTGTTGAAATGGTGAGGGGGCATTTAAACTTCTCGTACGCCTGTGAAAATATCAAAGATAAGGGATAAATTAATATCATTAGCATTAATAATCGGTCCATAAAAACTTTTTTGTCTAAAAGCAGGTTTTTTCGCGATCCCTAGTTTATTAAAGAAGACCGTTGCTTTCTACTCACTAACATTTGAAACAGAATCCATAACCAATTATACACGAATAAGCCGATTGACTTTAAACCTAACTTTCACTGAAAACGAAATCTAGTTAGACTTGACTTTGGTTATAGGATTTTTACAAGAACTTGAAATTCTACGCTTGAAGCATAACAGTTCTTGATCAGATCTATTCAATTTCATTATGAAAGCATTAAGGGCTCACTTGGTGTTTTCAGGTTAATCACTGTTGAGGAGCTTAGGAAAGAAAGGTATTCAAAATTGCCTACTACTATTTTATATTCTAGTACCTACTCACACTATAATCGGTTTTTTTTCTCAAAACTCTATTTTTGAGGTCGGTGGAAACAATTTCACCGATCTTATTGAAATTTTGTACACTGCTTCTAAATGGTGTTGACTAATTCCGGAAGGAAAGTTTTTTCTTTCTTAGATCACAGTTTATTTTACAAGGCAACACTGAAAATCGTACCTCGCTATGAACAACACTGCCCAAGTTACAATTTTCAAAATTTTTTTAAATCTTGCACTTAAATACAACTTGTACTCGTTTACTACCAAAAAAATTTTTGTTTTTTAGATTTCAGGCATAGCTACAATCACTTATCCTGTCCCTGGCGGCGTCTTTGAAAATTACGCACCAATGATTGAGTTTTCGAAAATTTTATAGAACATTGCTTAACACTACGATTGTCGGACGTTCGGCATAACAGCCTAGTTTGCCGGAACTGAGTCAATTTGACTCAAACATCAAAATTGATGATGTGAAAAAAAAAAAACTTTATTCAAAAGAGTTTATACATATATATTCCGTTTCTAAAATACATTTTTCACTTTAATTATATTTACAACGGACGGCCTTACTTTTACTTGAACTTGACAATTGAAGCATTTTAATGTCAGATTTATCTGACTTTTTCCGCCCATATTGATTAAATGTGCAGTCGGCTTCAGTTGAGAGGAATTGCTCATCGACTTTTATGTCTCTGTCAGGTTTATAAAAAGCTTGGCTTTTTACCAACATATTTTTCCCGTAATTTGTGATCTTATATGTCAATGGTATGATTCACGTCCGTCAAAGTAGATATAGGAAATATGGATTTTCGGCACTATGGGTTGGGGAGGGTAAGCAAACGACACTTGTATCAGAACATGTTATTGAAAAAGTTATTTTAATTATTCCAAACATATAGCAATAGAAAGGTAAGTGAATCAAATTGACCTGCTCCGGCAATCTCGTGTTAAATCTTGCACTTTAATGTCGTGGCTTTAAAGTTTGAAAAAAAAGTTGCTTAATTGCTCTCAAACAGACTAAATTCCTTAAGAGTTTAATTTTAGATTAATTCTGTGATAGATATAATAAGATCACTAAATTGATATATCGAAACTGTAATAGCTTCATACGTACAAAATTTTATGCATAAATTGTTTAGGTTTCACGGGCTTAGCTCAAGATTAAGCTTCAACACTCAGATATCATTTCTAATCTATCAAATAATGATTTAGAAAAAAAAAAAAACAAAGAATGATTTGGACTTTCGAATGAAATCAAAACCTTACAAGCAACGTTTCACAAAAACAAAAAGATTAATTTCAGCTTTAAACGAATCGTTGCGCACTCACCATCAAATTTTTTGTTATATATAAATTTTTAAATATAATGTCGATGATGCTGTAATCTAAATGGTACTAAAGATGACTCAGATTTTATAGTAGAAATGATGTAATGATGGAAAAGTGGAACGGGCCTACTAAGCACGGCACTTTGGATATAGGATGTTCACCGACGTGGGGTTGATGAAATCCAGATTCTTGCTTTCAACTTAAGAAGTTAGTTCATCTTTTTTCAATTCTCTTCCTCTTTCCGAAGGGAAGGGCAAAGATTCTTTTATTATTTTCCGCAAGTCCATGTCGACCGTCCTGTTAAATCTGCCTGCTCTTGATGAAAATGAAATTTTATGTTCATCACGCAGTTTGCTTATTATTGAAATTTTTATTTGCAAAATTTAGGATAGATGACTGAAATTGGACAATCATAAGTGTGAACTGAACGCCAAGGTCGAATTTAATTATGGCCGGAAATTCGAAGCAACTTGAATAATATACATGTAAATGCAAATAAACAAATCCTCCCATGTTGTCTTCAATAGGGTTTAGCTGGTATCACTCTGAACTGTATTAAGAAATCTTTATAGGTAAGAAAAGTCGCCCGATATGGAAGTAGTGCTGTGTTAATGAATATTCAAAAGTAGCTTTCTTACTAATTGATAGACATTTTGAGCATTTCATTTCACATACGTTGACTCAGCGTTTGAATGCGGTTAAGAAATTTCAAAAAGAAGGCTTATAATACTAACCACATAAGCGTCTAGAATTTATAATTGGTTGAAATCCTTTTGAGAGATTCAATATAAATCAAGAAATCATGACGGGTATACACATCTAACGCACCTTACTTTACACTTTCGTGTTAAAACAACTTTGCATATATATGTAAAAAAAAAAATAAAAATAAAAAAAAAATGAAAAATTAAATTCCAACCTTAAAATTCGCACCGAAGAATATGTCTTATCCAACATAGACACCGTAGATGTATTATCATCATTACAATGCATTTCATTAGCACTACCGCAAGAGTTGTTCAACGAGGGGTCTTCAATATTCAAATTATTTTGTTGAAACAAAGTTGCAAATTGATAGTCTTGCTTAGAGTTTGACATTTTTTATTTATTTATTTTTTTGTTGTTGTTCTTTTACGGAAAAATAGAACAATTAATAGAAGTCAATCTTGATTTTCTTTTCTCTTAATTTTATATATTTAATTAAAGTTGTTTTTTCCAGCGAAAACAACGATAAATAGCAACACGAACTTGTTAAGCGCGTTTAAATGTTGTTAAGATGATGATGATGACTATGCAATACGATTGTTATATTTTGTAGATGCGGGTACAGCCGAAGGAAGATCGAAGAAGCACACTCGAGAAACACAAAAAAAAAAACAAAAAAAATAAAAATTAAAATTTTAAAACTTAATATAGCCAAGTTATTAATGACAGCATACTTTACAACAGTGACGACGTATGCTGTTGGCACGAGCTGCTTGCTTAGTGAGTGTTTGAGACGAAGGTTATAACAATACTGCTACAATAATAATTGGTAGAAAACCTATTCTATAGAGATGTATATATGCGATGGTTTGCAGTGTTCAGATAATGTTGTTTTTTTATTTTTTTTCTTTTTTCATACAAAAAGAAAGAAGGAAAACTATAAAAAAAGCATAAGCGAGAGCAACAAGTAAATTGAGTAAAGTAGCATTTCTGAGTGAATATGTATATATATATATGTATATATGCAATTTATTCTAATGGCAATCATAACAATTTTCAGTTATGGGGGTTGTTGTGTCATATTAAGGAAAGGGACAACTTTAAGAATTAAACAAATAAAGAAACTATGTTAAGCGCGATTTTTGTAAGAAATAAAAAATACTTTAATAAACTTGTTGTACCTTCGTTCTGAGCCTATATGCACTGACTTACTAAACATTTAAGCCGATTTCTTCTGAAAATAATTAAAATGTTTATACTCATTTTCTGATTGATTTTGTTTAAATATTATATGAGTGCTCGTTAAACTAAAAAAAAAAAAGCTTCAATTCAGACTAAAGCTTTTAATCTCCTGTTTTGTTAGCTTTTAAGTACAACAACAAATTGAAAGTGTCCTGGGAACTTGAGCGGTCAGTTGTCAATCTACGAAACTTTAAAGAGTTTTTAATAAGTGTAACCAATGGATTCGGTAGATTTCATGTATTAGGTGTTTGCCAAAAATTTTGGTCAATGACTTCTACAGGTAAAAATGATAAAGAACTGGGAAAGACCAGTGTACGTAGCCGGGTTTCGACCTTTCTCTACATAAAATAATAGTTCTCCATTTAATATTATTGATTTATTCAGCATGCGCCGACGCTCAGCAGGGAGCGCTTAAAATTCTTATTGTTTAAAATTCATTACTTTTGCTTATTTGAAGATATTGCTGCCGAAGCCAACCAAGTCTACGTTATAGTGATGCTGCCCTACCATATCATAATTGTTGATTATTAAGTGGCGACACGAATTGACTGAAAATGGCATTTTTTCGCCACTTGTTACAAGAGTTGTTCGGAATACAATGTTGCAACTAGAATGGGAGTTTCTGCCACACCGAGCGTGCTCACCAGGCATGCCGCCTACTAATTTCTTGGCTGGCACACGGTGCCGGAAAGTTGAAGAAGTGCGAAAATGGGCCGGTCCGTATAAGTTCTTTCGACGTGATATTCCCATGTTGCCAAAAATGTTGTAAAAATGTTGTTACAAAATGATAGAAATTGTTTTGATTGATATATATTGTAGCAATTTTCCACAATTGCCTTTTTCAAGTGAAAAATTGATCAACATTTTTGCAAACACCTAATAATTACTTTGAACAAAATTTACTTAAAACCACTTTTTCAGATTTCAGACTTCTTTAAGTCAAAAACTACACAAGCTAGGTTGTGAAGCTTGGATATTATACAATTTTTACCGTAAAGGAGTCTCGTGAAATCTGAAATATTAAGCAATTCACGTCATAGCAAGTAGGAACCAAAGGATTCATTATTGTTATGAGAAATGCTTTTTCATCGAAACGAAGTTAAAGAACATGTTCACGTTTTCAAAGTAATATTAAAAAAGAATTGAATTTCTTATTCTTACACTTCTTATTTTATTTGTTACGATTTTCCTTTCTTAATAAACATTAATTATTTACGACGCTTTCAAGAAATATATATAGGCTCCCTTTGTTATTAAAATTTATTTACGGCAATCGCGTAATTCTTTTTATTATATAAAA